CCTCGGCGGTTGTGGGGAGGAGAGTGACGGTGCTCCAGTCCCTTCTCGAAGCAAGCGCTGCTCCTCACTCTTTTGGGGGTGTAAACTCCCCGTACCAGGGGCGCAGCCGAAGTTGGTTGCACTCTTCAACCCAGGGCAGTTCCAGTCTCCAAATCCCCGTCCGCGCGCCCTGCTGAAGTTGCCTTAGACACAGCTTCCCAGGCAACCCCCTCAGGCAATTCCAGGCTCCCTGCCGAGCTCTGGGAGCAGAGTCAGAATCGCTGCTTCCTTCTCTGGGTCGGGCTGGCGCGCATGGGCGGGGGCTTGCCCGCAGGGTGTTCTAAGCCGGAGTCCGGTTAGAAGGCTCTCTCAGTGGATTCTGTGTCTTTTTTCTCCCAATCTCTCAGGTTTTGTAAGGTTTCCAATGTCTTCAGATCTTTTCTGTGTGATGTATGGGCGCGAGTGCAAGTACGGAGCTCCTTACTTCTCCGCCATCTTGCCCTCTCTCCTGTGCTTAGGTCTTTAGAAAGTGAAAGCTCTTGGGACACCTGGCTGGCTCAGTCAATAGAGCATGCATCTCTTGATCATGCAGTTTTAAGTTCATGCCTCACATTGGGCGTAGAAATTACTTAAAAATAAAGTCTTAAAAAAAAGAAAGTGAAAGCTCTTATAAACATAAATATCCACTAACATTTCCTGAACCCTCATTGGGTACCAGGTTCTCTGAGGTATATAAAGTTACAAGGTAAAGCTCTAGCCTGAAGTTATTTCCAAGCTCTGACTGGGGAAAGGGACAGGTTTGCATAGTGAGTGAGAGATTGCTTTTTAGATTTAGGCAGGTTTGGATTTAAATCCTGGCACCACAATGAGTAGTCTGGTGATGTAAGGCAAGTTACTTTCCTTCTCAGTGCCTCAGTTTCCCCACCTGAAAAATGAAAATACCACATCAGGTCATCATGAAGATTAAATAAGATTATGCACATGAAGTGCTTATACACAGGTCTTGGGACATGGGAAGTCTATCACACTTGTTGTTGTAAGTCATTATCTGCTAATGCTTCAGTGTGGTCTAATGGAAAGAGTCTGCATTTTAGAGTCAAACAGACCTTAGTTCAAATGCTAGCATCTCCATTTACTGTCTTATGTGTGTCCTTGGGTGAGTTATTTTACTTTTCTAAGCCCCAGCCTAATTGTTTGGAGAACAGGAAACACAATATACATCTTATAGGATTGTTGTGAGGGTTAAATGAGATCAAGTATGTTAAGCACCTGGCCAAGTTCTTAGCCTGTGATAGGCTCTCTGGCATCCCCAGCCCTGACTGTTCACACAAATTTAATGAAGTACAAGATTGAATTCCAAATGATCGCAATAATGAGTGAAAGTGCAAACTTGTAAAATTGTAGAAGATAATATAATATGAACTATTACTATTTAGTTTTGAAGTTCATAGGAGGGGAGAATCCCTATAGGCTAGGAATAAAGGGAAGGCTACCTAGGCAAATATCATATAAGCTGGATCTTGAAGGGTGAGTAACATTGATGCTAGCAGAGGGAAGTAGGACAGCATTCCTGTTGTGGAGGATCAAAATGACACTATACAGAGTAATAGTAACGGTTACAATGATAAATATGAGTGAGCCAGGTACATGTTTTCTATCCTATTTGTTAAAAATAGTCAGGTGGGAATGTGTAAAAAGAGTTATGTAGGTAACTAGCCTTTTCCTTGTACCCCATCATTATTTTCTTTTATAACCCACCATTGTTATTGTTCTGTCAGTGTTGAGAAATAAGGTTTCACTTTGAACTTCTAATTTTACAGCAAATGGGCCAATCCTTTACGAAGGAGAGTCAACAGAATTATAAAGGGTTTGAAGAAACAAAGAAAGAAGCGAAAGAAGAATGCTGAGGTATTAGGGACAGCAGCAGAAGATAGGAAAGATTAGGTGGTGGAACAAAGGTAATTGGCAGTAGGATATAAAATTGAAGTATGTAATATTTGATTCTTGTTACCACCATCTCAGTTTGATTGATGTGTATTTTTTTTTTTTTTTTTACCCTCCAAATGTTTGGACCACAGAGGTATCAGCTTCTGAAACCGTATTATCACTAGGGATATTTGGATGCTAGGAATATGGGCAAGAAATGTGCCAAGTTGATTGGGTACAACAGTATTTGGTATACGTAGGTCACCCCTTCAGAAGAAATCAATGAAATCTTCCTGCATTGACTCTGAGGCTCCATGAAAGATACCGTTGCTAAATAATAGTGGCTATAGTTCCCCATATGTATTGACCATGGTACATATCCAGGGGAAGGAGGTTCAGGAATCTGACAGATCTGCGATCGAATCCTCGATTCTAGTTGTTAGTTTCAGCTACCTGTTTCTCAAACTTAAATAATTCAGTATTATAAGTGATTGAGAGAGGGGATCCCAGAATTATATGCCAGGAACTACTTGGCCCTCAGGCTTACAGATCCCCTAGCCTTGGCCTGTGTTTCCACCTCCTGAAATAGTTATGAATAGCTACCTAAGAATAAAATGGTTGGTGAGAATATGTTTTTACTCATATGTGGATCAGGAGAAACTTAACAGAAGATCATGGGGGATGGGGAGGGAAAAAACCAGTTACTGAGAGGGAGGGAACGAAACCATAAGAGACTATTAAATACTGAAAGCAAACTGAGGGTTGATGGGGGGTGAGGGAGAGGGAAAAATGGGTGATGGGCATGGAGGAGGGCACTTTTTGGGACGAGCACTGGGTGTTATATGGAAATCAATTTGATAAACTATGTTAAAAAATAAATAAAATGGTTGTTAAGAAGTATACTTTGGGGAATAAAATATTGGACTGGGGTTCAGGAGACTCAGGCCATTAGCTAATGACATTTTCATGGGCAAGTAAGTTAACCTATCAGCAACTTGATACCATCAGCTGAAATTTTTTGTGTAGCTTAAACAATATAATGTATGTGAAGATGCTTTGAAAATTATAATGCAGTTACAGATATGGAGAGGAGTGGAATAATAGGCTATTGATCTAGTGTCAGGAGACTCTGGTTTTACTCTCAATTTTGCCATTTTGTATCATGGGAGCTTGGGCAATTCCCTTAGCTTTCCTGGGCTTCAGTTCACCAAGCTGCAAAATGAGAAGTTTGGACTAGATGAATAGGAAATGTGACTTATATCAGAAGAAACAAAATCCTTATATATGTAATGATTTATGCAAGGTAATACATAAGTATATCTAATAATCATATACATATATGATTATATTATTGCTTTGTATATGTTTAATATAGTACATGCATGTGCATATATATGCACATACAGACACACATATATGACATAAGTAGACTAACAATCTCTGTGTGCCATTTACTGGGGGCATGGAACTTCACTTAGTTATTCAGAAATTGTCATTGTATTTGCCACGGTGTATTTTGTCTTTACACCTCATAGTAACAGAAGCTAGTATACTGGCAAACTGAAAATACATAAGTTAAACATAACACTGAATAGTTTGAGAACTCTGTTGCAGTTACTTCCTGTTCTAACAGAATGTGATGTATGTATACTAGTCCTTTCAAGTTGTTTAACTCTACTTTACTTTTCTCCTGTAGCATTATTTTCCCACTGAGAAGAATACAAACCATTCAGAGCAGAAGAGACTGTCCCAGTCATCCAAACCTATTGGAGCATTTTAGGACAAAAATTTGTTCTTATTTTTGTCATGTTTACTTCCAAATATAAAATAAAGTTGAAAGTTCTGTTTTTGTGCATCAAACCAGGATCTGAACTCTTCTTATTAAAAATAGTTTCCACGTAATTTAAAAAGAAACATGAAAAGCACTGGTGGCATTTCAGGTCTCATATAGGGATGTGATTTTTGCAACTTGGGTTATGTTATCAACATATACCTCTGTTGGTGTTAAATAAGGCAGATATTTCATGTTGTTATTCACCTTCTAGCAAAGTGGGGGGAAAACCTAGTGATCATATTTCACTGTACATGATACTCTGTTTATTTTGAAGGAAAGAAGTAATGATATTTTGTAGGGTTCTTCTTTTTATTTTATAATTTATAACATTTTTCCACAATAAAAGACACATGCATTATAGAAAATTTGGTAAATAAGATTCTGTAGAATAAAGAGGAAAAGTCACATAATCCCACTACCAAGAGCTGAACACTGTTGTTAGCTTATGTTTAAAAAAAAAAACAATAGTGTTCTGTGGCATAAATTAATTGATTTTTTAAAGGTTATCCTTTTTAAAAAAAAATTTTTTTTGAGAGAGAGAAAGCACGAGTGGGGAAGGGGCAGAGAGAGGGGGGCCGGACAGAGGGTCGAGGGTCTGAAGTGGGCTCTTCACTGACAGGCTGACAGCAGTGAGCCCCATGTAGGTCTCAAACTCATGAATCCTTAGATCATGACCTGAATTCAGTTGAATCCTTAACCAACTGAGCCACCCAAGTACCCTGGAAAAAAAATTCTTTTTTTATGATTCAGTTTCCTCTTTTGAAATGTGTGGGGCTCACGTTTAACTGGGCTTGTTGCTTATTCATTCAACAAGCATCAGTTAAGCCCCTGCCATAAGCCATGCACTTTCTTTGTGCTGGGGAAATAATCATGAGCAAGATAGAGTTGGCCCTTCCATCATGGAGCTCACAGTCCAGCTAGAGAGGAAGCCAGGTAAAGAAGTAATGACAAGCCTATGATAGGAGGAGTTTCAAGTTCTATGGGAGTATTTAGCAGGGGCTCTTAGCCCAGACCTCAGGAAGAGACACAAAATGAAAGGTAAGAGGGACCAATAGGTGTGTGGTAGGAGGTTTCAGGTATGAAGGCCCAAGCACATGGAGTATTTGGAATACTGCAAATAGTTCAGGATGGCAACAACTTCAACTTAGATGTTAGATTAGAAGAACTTAACAACCCATGTTAAAAACATGGGTTTCATCTTGTAGACAGAAGGGAACCAATGAAGGATTTTAAGCAAAAGAATGGTATGGTTAGATCTATATCCTTAGCGCTCACTCTGACTATTGTGTGGAGAATTGGAAGTAAGCAGCACTGGGGTCAAGAGTATCAGTTAGGAGGCTGTTGTATTAATATGGATGACAAAATATGGCGTCCTAGATAAGGCTGTTTGGCATGTAGCACTAATAGGACTTGGTTATTAGTTTGTGTGGGGGAAGAAATGAGGGGGTTGAAAGGAGAGTATAAATTTCAGGTTTCATTTTTTAAATTTTCTTTTAATGTTTATTTATTTTTGAGAGAGAGAGACAGAGAGAGTGGGGGAGGGGCAGAGAGGAGGGAGATACAGAATCTAAAGCAAGCTCCAGGCTCTGTGCTGATAGCTCAGATGCGGTGCTTGAACCCATGAACTGCAAGATCATGACCTGAGCAGAAGTCGGACACTCAACCGAATGAGCCACCCAGGCGCTCCAGAATTTCAGATTTCTAAATGATGAAACAGCTAGAAAGATAGTGGTTCTATCAGTGAGTTGAGACAGTGAGAGGAACGGCAGGTTTGGCAGGGGAAGATGAGTCCTTTTGGAATAGGCTGTTTGAAGGGCCTATGGACCATCAAGGTACAGATGACTAGTAGGCAGTTATATATAAATATATGGGTCTGGAGCTCAGGGGAAAGGTCTGGTTAGATATAAAAGGTTAGGAATCATCAATATATAGAAAATAATTGAAGTCCTAGTGATTTCAACCAGGAAGAATAAGAAAAAAAAGAAGGGACTGGAATAAAATCCAGAGGAACACAAGCATTTAAAGGATGATCAGAAATGGCATAGCTGTTAGTGGAGACTGAGAAGTATGAAGATAAGCAAGAGAGCGCTGTTGGGAAGGAAAAGTTTTTCTATACCTTTCAAAATTCCTTTGGCTGGTCTAAGAGTTAAATTGACATGAGACAAATTAACAGGAGAAAATAAAATTTAATTATGTGCATATAGAGGTTCCATAAAGAATTTGAGGCCTACAGGCAGTCAGACAATTGAGGCTTATATGCCATTCGGAGCTAAGGAGAAATGGTGTAGGGGTCTGGGATTCAAAGGGAAGAAGATAATTCACAGGTAGATGAAAAAGAGTAAATGTTTGGTAAACAAATGTTTGCTGGACCATACAAATACAATGGGATACAGAGAGAAATTTCAACAAACAGACTTTGCTAGGATCCTCCCTGGCTGTCCCACCTAATTCATATTATACTGTAGTTATCTATGGTAATAAATAACTCCCTTTCTGGAACAGGTCCTCTATCTAAATTCTTTTAGGCAGTTAGCAGAAAGGCCAAAACAAAACAAACAAACAAAAACAACCCACAACTTCTTGAGCCTTCTCTTAAAAATAATCAGCCTAAAATAATCCACATGCCAAAGAGACACATTTTGGGGTGGCAAATTTTGCTCCCTTACAGAGCAGTATAATGAATTCCAAGAGGCTGGCATGTTTCAAAGAAGAGGGAATGATTAACAATATCAAAATTCTGATTCATTTCCACTGGATTTGGCAACACAGTAGTCATTGGTGACTTTGGCAATAGCAGTTTCAGTGATGAGGTAGGAGCAGAAACTAGAAGTTGAGTTGCATAGTGACTGGGAAGTGAGAAAGTGAAAGTATGGACAGCTTGTTGAAGAAATTTGGCCGTGAAGGGAATCAGAGAAGCAGTGGTATAGTAATTGATTGGAAGTTTAGGATAGGAGAACATTTTCAAGATAGGGGAAATTACATTGAATGTAAATGCTGGAGGTGTGGGAGAAGTTTCAACTTGTCCTTCTGATCCCCAGTTTTTCCTCTTTTGTTTCTGTGAACATACCGTATAATTTAGTTATTTATTATGCTTCTCGTTTATTATTTGCTTTCCCCTGCCAGAATATAAGCTCTCCTAGGGCAGGGAGTTGTGTGTGTTCTGTTCAGGGATACATCTCAAGTGCCTAGGACAGTGTCTGGCACATAGTAGGTGCTCAAGAAATAAAATACCTATTGGATGATTGGATTGGAAATAAGGTATTTTTGTGGTATTCTGCACTTTTGCTATGATTATGGGTGCTTCCGAGGCAAATGGAGTTTTAGGAAAAAAAAAAAAAAAAGCCAAGCTAAACTGTACAACAAATGATCACTAGAGTTTAGTAAACAAGCGGTTGTTTTTAAAGCTATTCCTCAAGAATGCAATACTGCTGTTCTAAATTTTAAGAGCCACATTCAGGGAAAACTGAACAAAAAAGACCAACCAGAGAAATTCTCTGGGTAGAAATAAGTAATAAAACAACTCTGGGGCACCTGGGTGGCTGTCGGTTGGGCATCTGACTTCGGCTCAGGTCATGATCTCATGGTTTGTGGGTTTGAGCCCCTGCATCGGGCTCTGTGCTAACAGCTAGCTCAGAGCCTGGAACCTGCTTCGGATTCTGTATATCCCTCTCTCTCTGACCCTCCCCTGATCATACTGTCTCTCTATCTCTCAGAAGTAAATAAAACACTTAAAAAATAAAATAAAACAACTCATAAGGAAACAAATACTTTATAAGATTGAAATTTTAGCAAAAGCAGTGGCAATCTGAATGTAAACATAGTCTGATGCAGTGCTTTGAAAGCAATAGATAGGAACATCTGCAACTATTCTATAAGAGATTAGAAACTGGGTTACAGGGGACACTGACAGAGATTACCATTAAGTGGTAATGTGAGGGGAAAGAATGTGAGCTTAGAGTGGCAGTCAAACAACTAGATATGCAGAATTAATGCTGAGCCAGAGACGAAAAGTTGAAACAATTGAGGGTTGTTATTATTAAAGATTAAAAGCCAAAAGGATCCTCACAAGAGTAGGAAGGAAATAAGGTTGTTCAGAGTGCTATCTCCAATGCCAGTGCCTAATACACTACTAAATCATGGATGACCAAGTCCTGCAAGAGATAGATTGGTAGATCATAAGCATGTCACTAGCCTGCAGACTTTAATAGTCACAGATTCATTTCCCTCAAGCCATTACTGTATCTGTTCCAAATGAAAAGACACTAGCTTCAGAAGTACCTCTGATGCAGAGCCTAAACTTAAACTGATTAGGGTGACTGCTTTAAAACCAGAGGTGATTCACTTTCTCCCCAACCCCACAGACCTTGAGACTTTAAACCAAGAATGACCAAATGATCAAAAACAAAGCTCTTTCTCCTTAGCCCGCGGCCAACCAGACATTGGTAGAGAATCTGGATAGATGTAAAGTTCAGTAGTTTGGAAAATGAGGAAAAGATCTCTCTTAGATATCAGCATCATGGACAATGGACATGTTTTTTTCATTATGGTATTTTGTAAATATTCCTTGTCTATTTATGGTCCAAATGGTGCACAACTTTCCCTTGAGGGGACTAGGAAAACTGATGATACTGTGGGATTGCCAGGCTGAATTTAAAGCCTCAGACCAATCTGTAATATGTGGGTTAGCTGCTGCCTGCCTCAAATCTCAGCCAGAAGGCTTGCCAAAAAAATGTAGCTGTAGGTGGCTTATAACTTGAGGGTAGAAAGAGCAGAGGGATGTGAAACTTAATTGGAAAATATTTAGGACTTAATGGAAAATTATTTAGGAATAGCAAGACTAGCTATATAACGTGTGGGGTCTAGTACAAAATGAAAATACAAGGCTTCATGTTTAGAATTCTTAAGAATTTCAAGATGGTGGGATGCCTGGCTGGTGCAGTCTGAAGAGCACCAGCTCTTTTTTCAATTATTATTATTTTTTAATTTTTTAAAATGTTTATTTAT